CCTGGCCAACATGGTGAAACCCCCTTCTCTACTAAAAATACAAAAATTAGCCAGGCGTGGCGGTGGCACCTGTAATCCCAGCTACACTGGAGGCCGAGGCTGGAGAATGTCTTGAACATGGGAGGCGGAGGTTGCAATGAGCCGAGATCGCACCACTGAACTCCAGCCTGGCTGACAGAGCAAGACTGTGAAAAAAAAAAAAAAATCTAGGAAACCAAGGGAGAATGGTGTCATAAGACCTCCAGGTAAAATAGTCAACATCATCAAATACTACATAGGGATGTAGCATGAAAACCAAGAAAATAAAGGAGACCTTTAGAGACTGGGTAAGGAAAGGCATTCATGACCAAATCAGATTTAAGAGGCTCGGGAATTATGGTGGATTGAAAACAGACAAGTAAGTAATTAAAAGGAGTGGGAATGTCTAGAAAACAGTTTTTTTTTTTTTTTTTTTTAAAAGAGAAATAAATGGCTACCTCCTTGGCACTGTTAATAAAATATTATCCAAAGTAGTCCCAGCATTATATTTTATGGGGATATATAGTTTTTTTTTTTTCCAAATGGGAGACTTGTTTGTTATTGATAATAATATGGAAGATATTGATTGGCAGATTTTGGGTACATCAAAGGCAAAGAGTATGTTGCCGCCTGTCAAGTTTCTCATCTACATCAGCCCTACATCTCTAGTCTCATCTAAATCAGCCCATTGTCTGCATCAGTGCTGAATAGGTCAGTCCCCTGCTTAAAGACCTCTCTGGGTTCCTTGTTGCAAGAAGAAATACAATATTCTTAGCATAGCAGACAAGTTGTTTTGTATTCTGGTTCTAAACTCTCTGTCATATTTCATCTTCTATCACATGGGGCACAGGAGATTTCAGATTCTTTCCAAGTTAGATCTTTGTACATATTGCCCTTTCTACCTGGAAGAGCCTTCCTCTCATCTTTCACGTCTAATTCTAACTTGTCTTTCAACACTCAGCTAAAACACTCAGCTCAAAAAAGTCACCTAACATGGGTGACTTTTTGGAAGGAGGAATATTGGAGACACTATGTTTTAAACCAGATATTGCTATAGTCTGAGTGTGCAGAATCAAGAGCCAAGACTGTGATAATTACAGTGTGAATGGAACTATTTGTTTTTGAACCCTTTCATGCCTCTGTGGGTCCAGTGCAAGTATCCCTTTTTGATGCTTCACCCATAAGTTGTTTCTTCATATCTTTGCCTCAGCATCCTGCATTGTAATACGTCTATTTTCATAGCTGTGTTCTCCATTAGACTACATGAACTCTTAACACAGGGACTGTATTTTTTATTGCAATCTCCATGGCAGAGGCAAAACAAACTCTTGCTAAAAGCATCAGGAATGAATGTGGATTAATATAATAATATATACTGAGGTATATAAGATAGAAGTCAAGAAGCATATTATAAGTGCAAAAAAATGAACAGTTTCACCTTTGCTCCTTCATTTTTTAGCTGTGACCATATATAATGCATAAAATATGTGAAGCTATGCATTCCAAATGTGTTCTGCTACAGTCATTATGTGTTAGAACGTGGTTTTGGAGTTAAGCAGTCTCAGCTTTAAACATGACTTCTGACTCTAAAAGCTGTATGAATTTGAGCAAGTTAATTTCTCTGAACCTGAGTTTCCTATTGGTCAAATGAGGATAATACTGTATAGTGTGGTTGTGAAGGTAAAATTGACAAAATATAGATTAAACAATTTAATGACCAGCATTTAGTCATCATTAACGTTACAATTATTTCCAACTCTCACCTTCATGGCTGATATTTCTTATCAATTTCTCTCTGGTCTTGTATTTGGCTCATTTGCAACTTTTATTCATTTTATAAGGAGAAGAATGTTTCAAAGTAGAATTTTGATGTTAGGAAATTTAACGTCAGCTGTACTTCACCTACATAAATGACGCCATTTGATTCATAATACTCACTGCCAGCATTAAGTGAATTTACAAAAATCTAGAATGAAATATAGGTGTTGATACAGTAAGTTGCCAATTAAATTTGAATTGTTCGTAAGTCTTCAAATAATTTCCCAGTGAAAGTCCTAGCTTCACTTGCTAAGCCGGATCTGAGGACACCTTTTTTGTCTTATCTTCTGGAATCTATTGCCCTCAGTTATTTAGATAACTTAGATATTAGCTCTTTTTATTTTTTTTAGCAGAATTTTTGTGGTTAATAAAAACATGTGTTTACAGCTTTTTGCATAGATAAAGGAAAGGATTCCACATCTAATTTAGATCAAGAGATAAATTTTTAGAAAAAATGATGGATATGTCCTCTGAGAGCAGTGGAATGCAATGATGTTCTGTCTTTTTCTGATTGAGTTCCTGGCATTTCAGAACCCTTCCACACCCACACCCAGGCAAAGACACAGTGGTCACAACTACAGCTCCTGCAGTCTCATTTCCAGAGCACATCCGTTGTTTTCCATATCATCTAATAAATCCGTCTCTTTAGCCTAGTGGTGAAAAGCTTATATAAATATTAAAACTTCAACTATTCCCTTGAGTTTTCTGTTGGCTAACCTGCAGCCATGGGCTGGTTTGGATATTGACATGCATTTGCTATGTAGATCATTCATGCCACTTTTGTGAGTCCAGTGGTGATAAATTCAGTTGTCTTGAAAATTTATCAGGCTGTTTTAACACCCCGTTTATGAAAACTTAAATAATTGACACCCTCATTGAAAAGGTTCTAGGTTCAAAGTATCTTTCTTATTCTTTCAGCATATATCATTCTGATGATATATATCTATATATATTTTAGGAAGTCTTGGCCAGGAGATGATTGGAACAGTCATTGGAAAGAAAGCAAGAATGTGAAGAACTGATTGGAGCCAAAACGTTTAACCTTGCATTGTTATTCCTAGAACAGATTTTTTTTAAAACTATATTTAGAAGTGAAGTATTTTACTGTTTACTAAATAGGGGTAGTTAACATTACTGGGGTGAAATTAAAATGTATAATAAAAAATCCTTATCCATCGAATAGGAGAGAAAATGGAAGGCATATATTTAAAAACAAAATCAATACTTGGTGTATAGTGGGCAACAGTAAATGAATGTGGGATAGGATTGATTAGATTCCTAGTGAAATGTAATACTACCTTTATAAAATATTTATTATATCCTTAAGTAAAAACTTATATGATTGACCATCATTGTTAATATAGTAGACTTATTTTGGAAAATACATGTATTCCATTTTTTCTTTTTATTACTCATTTTTCATTTATTCTCTTAGATAGCAATCAATGAAGTGTCCTCCAGTACTATTCTGTCTTTTCGTTTTTTCTTTTTTCTTTTTTTTTTTTT